GCTGGCCAATATAAAATGACTTTTACATAGTACATAAGGCAGGTTTTGGTACAGATTTTTGTAAGTGATAAAAATAGAAAACAAAATAATGTTATATATGATCCTTTTATTGTTGAATTACTAGCATCATGATGAACCAAAGGTAATCAAATAAGCTATTTAGCTAACCACTATGTAATAAAATCTGAAAGAGTGCATCCAATAATATCATGGAGAATTGTTGTTACACGCAAAAGGTGTTCGAATCTCATTCATGTGACTGATATCCGAATATTAATATTACTGTTGTCAAAAAACTTTTTATAATATCACTAAAAATTCATCAACTTGACTCAAATAAATTTTCAAACAAAACCTTGCTTTTTAAAATCACTTTAAATTATTTTCTAACCGAATCTGGCAATTAGCTGTTGAGTAATTTGCTTTTAAAATTCACAATATTGTTGAATTATGTTATTAGAATAAACGAGATACATTTACCTAATAAATATACCAGATTGTTAACACTCCATTCTTAAATAACTATTTCAATATTAATAAGTTGTATGAAACAGGCGATGTGGCTTATAGGAGAGTTAATCGTTCGAAGAAACGGAATCACCTTTGGAATCACAAGACATATCACAATTTATTATTATTATTATTATTATTATTATATGAGATTTCTTTAAAATTTTGGTAATCAATTATAAATAATGTGATAGAAGTTAAAATTTAAAGATGTGAGACGATTCATCATAGAAAAGTGGAATCCAACTCTTGATTTATTTCTAATTAATTTACTTTGATAAAAAAAATCAAGATATCTGCTGTAATTAAAATTAATAGTGAAAGTATTTCGTATTAAAATATATTCAATAAAAGTTCTGCTCTTAACCTATCGAATGGAAATATTTTCTATATGAATTAATACAGTGGTTGTTTCATGATGAGTAATTTGATTTTCCGGCTTTTTGCAACACACTGTATATCATGAACATTAATATTATATTGCATGCGTGCGTGCGTGCATGTGTGTTCAAATTTGTTTATTTTACATTTAAGGAAACTAAGTAAATTGTTTATGCATTTATTCTATCTTGTTAAGAATCCATGTGTTTGTTATTTCGATTAATATTAGAAATTAGCATTGTACCGTTTTTTATTTTTGGATATTCAAAGACTTTTTGACAATAAGAAGCAATTATTATTATGAATTATCTCGTTTTTTTAGTGATGACTAAGTATTTTTACATTTTCAAAAAAGACTGTTTGGCTTTTTTTTTTTTTTTTTACGAGAAATCAATTCCATTTTTTTTTAGTAACGACCAAGTATCTTTACATTTTTCAAAGAGACGTGCATGTCGACTTTTTTTTTTTTTTTTTTGACAATAAAAAAAAAATCAATTTTGTAGCAATCAAATATACAAAAAGACATGTTGGCTTTTTTTTTTTGACAATAAAGAAGAAATCAATTTTGTTTTTTTTTAGTGGCGACCAAGTATCTTAAGAGACATACATGTTGGCTTTTTTTTTTTTGACAATAAAGAAGAAATCAATTTTGTGTTTTTTTTAGTAACAACCAAATATTTTTACATTCTCAAAAAGAAATGTGGCTTTCTTTTACGAAGAAATCAATTCTGTAGCAATCAAGTATCCTTACATTTTCAAAAAAGACATTTTGGCTTTTTTTTTTGACAATAAAGAAATCAATTCCGTTTTTTTTAGTAGCAACCAAGTATCTTTACATTTTTCAAAGAGACATGCATTTCGGCTTTTTTTTTTGACAATAAAAATCAATTCTTAGTAACCTTTATATTCTCAAAAACGACATGTTGGCTTTTTTTTCTTGGGTAACAAAGAAATCATTCCGTTTGTTTTTTTGTGGTGATTATGTAACTTTAAGTTTTCAAAAAAGGCTTTTGACAATAGAGAAATAAATTATCGAAAAGTGTTGTTGTCCAAAAATATTTAAATATTATAAATTTGTTTTGCTTTTTTTTAAATTCGTAACATCAGTTCCTTCAAAAGTTTATTTTCCAATGTTAGAAATCACATAACACCTAGTAGAAATACATTGTCACCTGATTTTGTTTCCAAATTATTTCTTAAAATGAAATTAATGTATTCAGTTTAATATTAACTGTTATTGTATCGTATTTTTCGAATATCTTGTCGATCGCTTTATTAATGTCATTATATACAAAAGGAAATAATATAAAAGATGGTTCATGCGGCATATAAAATGAAAATTGAATTGCGGCTAACTGCGGTTCCATCTTTTAAATATAAAAGAATTAATGTTGTTATTAAAAAAAAAATTTTTTTTTCTCCACTTTATTCATTAAAATACCAAGTCATATTTTAAAATTTATAAAAACATTTTATTTTTATATAATGTCATTTAACAAATTATTATCTTCAACATCATCAGAAAGAAGGAACCTTGTATTTAAAATTAACAATGAAATGCATAATAACGCAGGGACTAATTCTGACATAGAAAGTAGAAAAGATTATTTTTTTTCATTGGTCAAAAAAAATGAGGAACTTTCTGAAAATGAAAAAGAATACTGCAAAGAATACTTTATTTATTATTTTGAATTAGAGAAAGCAAAAGATGAATTGGGCCAACCAAAAAAATGTAATGGGTGTAAATTGACAAGATACACTGATAGATTCTGTGAAGTTGCATTAGTTTACAATTACAGAATCTTTTCACCAGTTGGACATCTGGTAATAACATAGTTGATAACTTTATTCAACAATGTCAAATTAAGTCATCTCTGCCAACTCTTGTTATGGAATGGATACCTTTTGAGCAAATTGAACAAGTAACAAAGGTAACTGAAGGTGGATTTAGTTCAATTTATACAGCTACATGGACAAGAGGTTATATGACTGATTATGATGAAAATAAAAAGGAGTTTATTTATTTTGGAAAACAACTGGTAGTATTAAAAAGTTTAAATGATTCAAGCAATCCAGGAAAAGGCTTTTTTGATGAGGTTGGTAGTTGTCACTTAAAACTAAAATGCAGTAATACTGTATTATATAATTCTAATTTTTTATATTTATTTATAGGCAATGAATTATTGTAAAATTAAAACCAATTTAATTGTTAATTGTTATGGTATAACTAAATTCCCAGATAATGGAAACTATGCAATGATTTTAAATTATTATCCAGAAGGAAATTTAAGGAATTATTTACAAACAAATCATTTAAATTTAACATTAAAAGACAGAATTACAATCTTTAAATATTTATGTGAAGCATTATATTATATACATGAAAAAGATTTAATCCATTGTGATTTACATAGTGGTAATATATTATTGCAAGGTGGTAGTTGTTATATTACAGATTTGGGATTATGTGGTCCAGTTGATGAAAAATCATCAGATAAAGTCTATGGAATTGTATCATATGTTGCACCTGAATTACTTGGAGGAAAAATTAATGCAAAGAACACAAAAGAAACAGATATTTATAGTGTTGGGATGTTAATGTGGGAAATATTTGCTGGTCATCCACCATTTGATGATAGAGCTCATGACCATAGTTTAATTTTTGATATATGTGAAGGTTTACGACCACCAATATTATCTGAAATGCCTGATGATTATGTGCAAATGATGCAGAAGTGTTGGAATGTGGATCCATCAAAAAGACCAACTACTAGAAGGCTTTTGGCTTTTGCTGATAAAAAGTTTAGTGGAATTCATACAGCTGAAAGTTTGAAAGATAATAGTAACAATAATAAAAATTTTGGTAGCAGCAGCAATGGTGGTGGTGGTGGTGATTTGCAACAAGTACACAAATCACATCCAGGTGCATATTATACAAGTAGAATATTAAATGAGGAGATTGCTAAATCTATAAGATTTAAAAATTATACAAATAATGATGGTTCATTAAATAGTTTTGATTTTCTCTTAAATGCTGAAGGTGAATAAAATTTTATTATTAATTAATTGGAAATTACTATCCATTAATTATATTACTAACAATTTGATTCGATTGATTAATAAACATCAGATTCTAGTATATAATTAAAAGATGAATGATCTCGCACGGAATTTGGAAAATTACAAAAATAGACATTTTCCCGAGTACCATCACAACCTTTCTTATTTAGAAAATGATATTCAATGCACCCTGCTTTTGTTTAAAAATTTTTTTATTTATCCCAAATAAAGCGATAACATGTGTAAAACATAAAAGTTCCCTTGGAATTTTCACACTTTTAAATCCGGCTTAAATGAATTTCATATCAAAAGGCTTGGCCCAAATTTTTTATAGCTTACTAAGTGCAACTTTAAAAAAAAATTTAATTTTTTGGAATTTTGAAAAATACGCTTATTTCGTACCAATAAAACATCTAAAAAAGAAAAATCGAAAAAAATCGCTGGTCAATTAGTAATTTTTTTGTCTAGTAGGGGTCTACATTTTTTTTAAAAAATTCCGTGCCGATTAGCACGGAATTCTTGTACGTTTAATATCAAGGATGAATTTATTTGTTATATATAATTACTTATTTCATTTTTATTTCATTTATTAAAGCTAATTTATAATAATAATAATATTTTGAAGTGATAGGCTTTTTACAGTTTTCTGATTCTTGTTAAACAAGCAACTCCATTTTTCTTGTACCTATATAGAAAGCTTTAACAAATATATAAGCACACTTGATGGTACCAAATAACCGTAAATAAATAAAATGGCTCTTTTATAAAACTCAAAGGTTTCTTCAATTGTTTTTTTTAGGAATTTTTATAATGTTTGGTGCAATTCTTTTTTTTAAAAAAAATTGATCGCTCTTGAGGAGCACATATCATTTTTGTAAGCCAATAGTAATGGGTCAATGACTTTTCGCAGTCGTCTAAATTTTTATTCGACGATATAAAAAAAGGTGATTAAAAAATATCTATATAATAATGGTCATAAAACACGACAAATTTAAAAAATTCCCACAATACGTCCTCTTTCTTCTATATATATATATAAATAAATAACAATGCAACGTCTACTCTCCATAGGAAATTTCAAATTAGCAGCAGTTGTAAAACCTATACGACCAAGGGTATGAATTGCTCATATAATCATTTAAAACATTTTGAAAATGCAATTCACAAGTCTAAATTAAAGTTTTGAGTTTTGTTGCAAAAAAATTTTTTCTGTATGACAATAGTATTTTACTTCAGTCAAACAATCAAAAATTCCATTACCTGAAGAATGGTCTAAACTTGTAACTAAAGAACTAAAAGGAAAAGATCCAGAAAAGGTTTTGACGTGGCACACTTCTGAGGTAAAAATACTTGTAATATTAATGATTTAATTTTACATTATATATAATTTGGAAAAAAATTACATGCTTGCTTAATTTATAAGGGCATAGATGTCAAACCTGTATTTACAAAAGCTGATGTAGAAAATGTTGCGGATGAAGTTCCTGGAAAATATCCTTTTACAAGAGGTCCTTACGCGTCCATGTATACTGCAAGACCATGGACTATACGACAGGTAAAACAAAAAATCAATTGAATCAATCGATTGATTTAATCTATTAATTGTTTTGACATTTGAATTTTTTTTTTCCCCCTAGTATGCTGGATTCAGTACAGTTGAAGAATCCAATGCTTTTTATAGAAAAAATTTAGCTGCGGGTCAACAAGGTTTATCAGTTGCTTTCGATTTGGCTACACATCGAGGGTATTTGTTTATATATTTATAAATCTTAAATTCAAATTTATGTTATTTTCAATTGAGTTAATTTGATTTCACCATCGTTTGATATAGATATGATTCTGATCATCCTCGTGTGGTAGGAGATGTAGGTATGGCTGGTGTAGCAATTGACTCAGTTGAAGACATGAAGGTGTGTGCAATCTTGATTGATTGTATAAAACGAATGATGGTTATTTAAAAAATGATTATAATAATATTTTCCTCATTTGATTTCTTTAGATTCTTTTTGATGGTATACCTTTAAATAAAATGTCAGTATCAATGACAATGAATGGTGCAGTTTTACCAATTTTGGCAATGTATATTGTCACTGGTATAGAACAAGGTGCACAGTTAAAAGAACTTTCTGGCACTATCCAAAATGATATTTTAAAAGAGTTTATGGTTCGTAACACCTTTGTTTATCCTCCTGAACCATCCATGAGGCTTATTGGTGATATATTTTCTTATATTGCAAAGGTTTGCTTTACATATGATTTATTTCATATTTTTTTTTGGGGGGATTTATAGGTTCTGATTATTATTATTATTTATTTTTTCATAGCATATGCCAAAATATAATTCCATTTCTATATCAGGATATCATATGCAAGAAGCTGGAGCTGATAATGTACTTGAATTGGCTTTTACAATTGCTGATGGTTTGGAATATATCAGAACAGGCAAGTTTTTTTTTTTGAAAAAAAATTTATTATAAAAAAATTTCAAGTACATAATATATGTATATATTATATATATATATATAGGAATTAAAGCTGGTATGACAGTAGATGATTTTGCACCACGTTTATCATTTTTTTGGGGTATAGGGATGAATTTTTACATGGTGATTTATTATTATTATTATTATTATTATTATTATTATTAGTTCACTTAAAAGATTGTTATATATATATACATATACATACATATATCTCATCTTTATTATTTATAGGAAATAGCAAAAATGCGAGCAGCTAGACGTTTATGGGCACATATGGTAAATGAAAAATTTCAACCAAAAAATCAAAAATCGTTGATGTTACGTACGCATTGTCAAACATCTGGATGGTCACTTACAGAACAAGTATGTTAAAAATATACATCATCAATGTATATATATGTTTTGATGTTAAAGTAAAGCACTTTTAACAACGACGGAACATTCCAAAATAGGATCCGTATAATAATATTGTACGAACAACTATTGAAGCGATGGCAGCAGTACTTGGTGGCACGCAATCTCTTCACACAAATTCATTTGATGAAGCTATTGGACTTCCTACAGAGTTTTCGGCGAGGATTGCCCGGAATACACAATTGATTCTTCAAGAAGAAGCATTTATACCCAAGGTCGCTGATCCATGGGGTGGCAGTTATATGATGGAAAGTTTGACTAATTGTGTTTATGAGTCTTCGAGAGAAATTATTGAAGAAGTTGAAAGCATGGGTGGTATGGCAAAAGCCGTTGCGAGCGGTTTACCCAAATTAAAAATTGAAGAAAGTGCAGCTCGACGGCAGGCTAGAATTGATTCTGGACAGGGTAAAAAAAAAATATAAAGATTTCGATATTCAAGTTTTATAAAAAAAATTTTTTTTTACTTGAATATTTTTATTTCTTTTGATAGAGACAATTGTGGGAGTTAATAAGTATCGTCTCGAAAAAGAAATTGCAGTTGAAGCTCGAGCCATTGACAATAGCAAAGTAAGAGATGGACAAATAAAGCATATAAATGAAATGAAAGCTAAAAGAGATCCTGTCCGGGTTAGTTGATGATCGGATTATAAAAAACTTTTCATCAATTAATTAATTTATTAGCAAATTGATTAAATTGATTTGTTTATCATTACTATTGCTGCTGCTGTACCGCTATTATTATTATAAAGGCTCAAAAATCTTTGGATGCTCTTACTGAATGTGCAAAAACAGGAGATGGAAATTTACTTGAATTATCAATAGAAGTAATTAATATACCTTTTTATTTTTTTAAAAAAAATTATTTATTACATACATGATTATTTAAATATACATTAATTTTTAAAAAGGCAGCAAAAGCAAGATGTACAGTTGGTGAAATATCTTACGCATTAGAAAAAATATGGGGTCGTCATGAACCTAGTAGCAGAGTTGCTAGTGGTGCTTACAAATCAGCATATGGAGAAGCAGATGAAGCAGAAGAAACCATTAGATTAGTCAAAGTAAATTTTTTTACTGCTGACTACTATTCTGTACTTGATTGATCGATGATATGCGACCGATGATTAATTTTTAAAATATTTTAGGAAACAGGAGAAAAATTAGGTGTTAATCCCAGAATTTTAGTGGCAAAATGTGGTCAAGATGGACATGACAGGGGAGCGAAAGTGATCGCCTCGGCATTTAGTGATTTCGGATTTGATGTTGATTTATCACCATTATTTAGTACTCCGGAGGAAGTTGTACGTCAAGCAATTGATAATGATGTACATGTTATTGGTATATCATCACAAGCAGCCGGTCACAAAACACTTGTACCAGCCGTAATCCAAGAACTTCATCGATTAGGTGTTAATGATAAAATTGTGGTGGTTGGTGGTGTAATTCCGCATCAAGATTATCAATTTTTAAAAGATGCTGGTGTAAGTTCTATCTTTGGACCAGGCACAAAAATTCCTGAAGCCGCCAAAGAAGTTGTTTTAAAAATACAAGATGTGATACGGAAAGATGATCATGCTTCTTCTAATACTTTATGATAATTGTTGTAGACTTTTATTTATAATTGTAAAATGCCGCGGGTATCCAATAAATTTTATTACTATGTATTAATATATTGATTCAATAGAAGCGCACTTTATACTGATATATTTGGTGATTATCCATAATTTGTATACATATTAAACTCTATTCTTATCTACCCACTTGCAATTGCTTTAGACAATGGTATTGATAAAGATTTGATTATGTTCATGAGCTTGACCACCTTTTTTTTTAAAGAGAAATGCAAACAATTAACCAAATATATATATGTTTTAAGCCTCTATCTGGTTGTGCGATCAAAAAATTTGTAGTTACCTCAAAATGATTATCTACAGTCAAATCAAGTGCTTATTATATTATATTGCATTTATATAAATATACAATAAGACTACTGCACAACAAAACTTGTAACCAAAAAAATCTTTTATAATTGTGGTGTAGTAAACCTTCATCACGTTATCACTTTTCAGTATCATGAGTGTCATGATATCTCCAAAATAATTTAACTTTGCTGAAGCCTGAATTTGGATCGTTATGTGATACATTCGATGTTATTGTCTTAACAAATAATTGCATCGTCCAAGTAACAGTTTTACTAAGATCATGCAGATATGGAATTGTAAATTTTCTTCTACTGTGTTTGCCAAAGGAAAGCATAGCAAAGAAATAAAGAAGTTGGCCAAATTAGAAGACATCACTCCACAATCTGATTTCCAAAGCTCCGTGTGCTGGCTTGTGAGGTTATTAATAAATAACATATTAATGCCTTTTCAGAACCATACCAAATAATGCTTTTAATAATAAAATTAAACTTGCCTAATAATATCTTTGTCCCACTATTGTATAGTTATATATAGTTCTTAAAAATAAATCTGATATTAATCACGGGAGTCAGATTTAAAAAAATATTCCTCTACTACAAACATATGGTTGGATTTTAACCCGCCTCCATAACCAAGATAAGACCCTTAATGTTCTCGTTCCTTGGACTGTGCAATTGTTTCAATTGTTTTAATTGATTTACACAGGTGAAGGTCCCCATATGTTTGGAGGCTTTGTACAAGTGAAAGACCTCAATAGCTCCACAAGGGAAGACTAGAATCCACTTGACAATGATGCAAGCTAATAACCCAGAACCACATTCCCCCCCTGGGTTTAGATCATTGCTTCGTCGGGGTCGATAGGTCAGATTAGCCTTGTGCGTCTGTGGAGGAAGATGGGAATAAGTAACGCCTGTAAATTTCCTCTCCTTTATTCTCCAAAGGAAAGCACGGCAAGGAAATACGCGTAAAATAATCGAAGATGGGAAATCTGCTCTTGATTTCGTCATGGCTTGTTGTTGTTTTGCCTTTATAATGATTATTTTATTATTATATTAATCATTTATGAAGAAGAAAGAATCTTATATATGTGAGCGAACAAAATAATTACCTATATAATCTACGCCATGCGCTGGTCTATGAAGAGCTTTATAAAAAAAAATAAGGTATTAGTAATAAAATTAAACATGCTTGATAAATACCTTTGTCCCCACTATTGTATAGTTATATATAGTTCTTAAAAAAATAAATCTGATATTAATCACGGGAGTCAGATTTAAAAAAATATTCCTCTACTACAAACATATGGTTGGATTTTAACCCGCCTCCATAACCAAGATAAGACCCTTAATGTTCTCGTTCCTTGGACTGTGCAATTGTTTCAATTGTTTTAATTGATTTACACAGGTGAAGGTCCCCATATGTTTGGAGGCTTTGTACAAGTGAAAGACCTCAATAGCTCCACAAGGGAAGACTAGAATCCACTTGACAATGATGCAAGCTAATAACCCAGAACCACATTCCCCCCCTGGGTTTAGATCATTGCTTCGTCGGGGTCGATAGGTCAGATTAGCCTTGTGCGTCTGTGGAGGAAGATTGGAATAAGTAGCGCCTGTAAATTTCCTCTCCTTTATTCTCCAAAGGAAAGCACGGCAGGGAAGTACGCGTAAAAAATAATCGAAGATGGGAAATCTGCTCTTGTTTTGCCTTTATAATGATTATTTATTATTATTTATTATTATACCAATCATTTATGAAGAAGAATCTTATATATGTGAGCGAACATAATAATTACCTATATAATGTTGACACATTTTGTTTTTAAATCTCCGCCACGTAATTACATTTATAAAATAAGATATTTGGGCTATTTATAAAGAATATTTGCACTACCATACACAAAAAAAAAATCTTGTACGCGTTATTATTATTAAGAGAGCAAGAGAAAAAACACTGATAAATAATCTAATAATCTAATCAACTGTATATATAGAAAGATAAAATCTCCATCGCGTGCTGGCCTATGTGTTGCACAAAAAATTATCACGCGTTTGTTTATCAACTACTCCAAAAGAACAAAAATAATAAAGAAAACCAGTTCAAAAATAGCAAGATCCGAGTAAGTAACATTAAGAGAAAGAAAAAAATATCGCCTGTAATGATGTTATATAGTTAGAAAGATCATTTAACATTTATGACAAAGAATCTTATTGAGATAATTTTTTAAAAATAATTTTTGTGTATTGCGTTTTTTTACAAATATCATAAATATAATTAAAACTGCTCACAAGCCAGCACATGGAGTGAGTGATGATGGATATCTTCTACGTTAATTAATTATCACTCAAAAGAACTAAATAATAAAATAGCAAGATCCGAGTAAGAGCAAGAAGAAGAAAACACTGCTTGTAATGATGTTAGGAAAGATCATTTAAACATCAAGCAAGATTAATAATTAATAAACTTTATTTTTTTTTATTTCATCATACTCATTGTTGGAAATTGGATTAGACTAGAACTGATCAACAAAGTAAATAAATGTGTTGTATGTCACATGTTGATTCATATTTTAAAATTTATTTTAAATGGTTACAATTTATTTTTAATACTATATTATTTTTAATATATAAATATAATTTTTTTATTAATTAAAAAATAATATAATCTTTTTAAAATTATTGTTGTTTGACCTCAATTAACCATCATTACGCTTATTAAAAATGGGAAAGCATTGATCGACAGGATACATATCAGTTTTAAATGGCCGAGAAAGTATTCTTTTTACTTAACATTCATTATGCATTAGAGAGACAATGGCTAAAACAAACTTATTCTTAATTTAGTTAAAAACTTTTTTATTGTAAAGGAACTTTTATTATATGTTTAAGCAATTACAGTCAACCCCTCGAAGTGCACACTCTCTAAACGCACTCACTATGTAAACCCTCTCTAAATACACGTTTATGAGAAATAGTGATATGTTCCCAAGGAGGGTGCACTTAGAGGAGGGGGCTGACTGTAATTGATTATATATGATCTGCACCATAACACGAGTAAATTGTTTTCTAAAAGCCAATAGTAAATCATCATTAAGGGAAGGGAAAGTAATAGGGTGTTATATAAATTATCCCCCATCTCTGTGTATTTATTTATCACTGCCTTTTTTTTCTTTTTTCTCCTTAAATTTTTCAATCTCATAAAATTTAACAAGTAATTTTTCTTTTTCTTACTAGCACCACCTCTTCAATTAACTATATATATATATAGTCGCTGTTAAAGGGACAAAGAAGACATTAATATTAATATTAGTAGTGTATATTAAGTAAGAATATCAATAATAATGAATTATTACAGCCAATTGGGGAATTTCCCACCAAAATTTTTAATATCGAAAATGGTTAGTATTAATATTAATTGTATATTATATTTACAAATAATCATTTTTTTTTATTGTAAATTATAAATACATAATTGATAAAACAATGAAATAATAAAATTTTACATCTAATTTCTACTATTATAAATTATATATATGATATTGGTATTAATTATTTGTTTTTTGACTTGTCAGCATTGAAGATGTTTGTTCGCGGCGTTAAAGATGTTGGTGACGATGAAAGTTGGTTGTCAGTATCATTAATGTTAACTTGAATTCTAAGACTGGATTGGATTCTTTTAGGAGGTCCAAAAGAAGGCGTTGACGGCAAATTATTTCCACTACCATTATAGCTAATAAAAGAGGAGGTTGATCTAAAACTATTTCTGTTATCATCATTACTATAAAGTGAATATTTATCAGAGTATTGTGAATTATATCGTTGGCTACTATTACTGGTGGTTCTGATACTGGTTCTGTTGCCGCTATTTCTGCTACTAGTTCTGCTTTTACCAAACGCATTTTCATCATTCAAAAAATAAAAACTTGGAGGTCGATCAATAATTAATTGACTACTATTATTATTATTATTATTATTATTATTATTATTATTATTATTATTATTATTATTATTATTATTATTATTATTGATAGCACTAGCAATAAGATGTGGAGGAGGAGCCATTAAGGAAGAATAAACCAATTTTGATTTATTGCTAGGGATGCCTAGAATAATCTCTTGATTACCATTATCTTCATGGTTAATATTGGGTACTTTTGTAATATTAATTGTTGGTATTTGTATTATAGCTTCAGGTGAGGATTGTCGTGAATTATCAACTATTTTAAAAGTAGTGCCTTCAGTTAATATTTTCATTGCACCATTATTATTATTGCTATTAGAAAAAGTAGCATTTGTATTATTGTCATCACTGCTCTTGCTGCCGCTGCCACCGCTAAAATTATTATTATGATTTTTCAATGCTCGTTGTCGTTTATTGTCTTTAGTATTAATATTGTTAATATTGTTATTGTTATTAGGATTATAATTATATTGTAAGTCTATTGTTTGTTCAGATTTTGGTTGTTTTTCAAAGAAAAAAGTAAAGAAGTTTGGTCGTTTATTGCCATTATTTCTGCTAGACGTTGACGAAAATGATGATCTTGATGAAGATAAAGAAAATTGATTAAGACGACGACGACGGCGGCGACGGCAACGGAAACTGTTGTTGTCGTCGTCGTCGTTATTGTCGCCATCATCAATTCTTAAAAGAGCTCTTAACTTTTCATTCCTTTCTTTCAACTCATCATCATCCACATCATCGATAAGTTTCAAAATAGATTTTCCTGACATCGCTCTTGCCAATAAACTTGAATGGTCGTAGTCTCTTTTTGATATTGCATTTTTATCGATTCTTTTAGAGATACTATCAACGCGACTAATATTATTGTTATTACTGCTACTGCTTCCACCACTGCGATTATTCTGATGGATGTTTAATTGTAAAGGTGGTTGTTTACGACGATTAATAAATGGATCCGTCGTTGCGTTAACTCGATTACTGAATGTTGACGTAACCATAGTTGATGGATTATTGTCGTTATTGTGATCGTTGTAATTGTTGTAATTGTTGTTACTATCATAATTGTAGTCATGATTATTAAATGATGATGGAAAAGTTATTGAATTTGGTGTTTTTGTAAGAACAGATGATGGTGTTTTTGGCGACGATGTTGGTAATCTTGGAAAAATATTATTGAGATTATTATTAATATTATTATAATTCATAATACTATTTCCATCTCCTCCATTTCGTATTTTACAAGGTATTAATGAAACTATTGAAATAAAAAACTGCCTTCTTATTGCTGAAGTTGTTCCAAATGTTATAAAAGTTATAAATGGAATTGCGGTCATCATAAACTCTGGCCAAATGTCATCATCAATTAAACCTTTATTTTGGAAAAATGGTATTAATCTGCTAGCTGTGTGTGTTATTGTTAATAAAGAAAATCATTAGTCTTACGAGAAGGAGAAGGATAATTTTTAAAAAAAATAAAGATATTTTAAAAAATTACCAGAAGTAACCAATAAAGGAACTGATATTATTAAACCGCATATTATTGCTCGATCAATAATTTCCATCGACAATATATTGATATTATTATTGTTGTTCCATGATTTGTAATATTTGATTATTGAAAATAGATTCTTTACTAATAATTTTTTAAATCAATAGATGAATGAATTAATGATAAATGCAATAATTTTAAAGAGTACATAACTCGTCATAAAAATGCCAAATGTTAATTGAAACTTTACCTGATAAAATTATAATTGCAAGCGCTATCGCTATTATTATAAAATAAAAGCTGAACGAATTTTTTTAAAAATATATATAAATATATATATAATTAGCCAAAATCGAGAGGAAAATGAATGATAACAGTTTCATAGAATAATAACATATTAACATATGAACTTACAAAGGAATCACTGGTGTTGATATGAAATAATGAAATTTCCAATGCACAAATCCATAAATATTTAAATAACGTGTAACCAAGACAAAGGTAGTTGTTAGAACTAAAGGAATTCCCCAACCAATTATATTGCAAATAATCAATATTTTATTATTTATCTTATTATTATTATTATTATCATCATCATCATCATCATCATCATCATCATTATTCTGGTTGTTAATCTCAATGTCATGTTGTTGTTGAATTTGGTTCTTTTGCCTAAGTTTCAGCCAAATTTCAATTTCAATACAAATAAACCAAACTGCTAATGAACAACTAAAATAGATTGTTATGGTACCATTGATTAAACAATTTATTGTACTGGCATCACCACCACCACAACTACCAACACCACTGCCGTTGTTGTTGTCGTTATTGATAATTATAAAATCATTAATGTTTAAAACTCCTGTTAAGACGAAATTAAGTGATAGTAAGAATGAAGTGAATGATAATATCGAGATTGTTGGAAATCGTTTAAAATATGCTATTATTAACGTTAATGATAATGGTAGCGAAGCTAAATGGAGAGAATAAAATATTATGGCGTCCTGCGCTAATATCATTATTTGTCATATTTTTTTTTTTCGTTCGTTAATGAAAGTAGAATATGATATGAATGTTAATATTATAAAAAAGCACAAATGGTTGTTGGAGATAAATGGTGGAGTGGAGTGGAGTGGAATGGAGTGGAACGAAAAATAAAAATAAAAATAAAATGACAAGATTTTAAAATGTTGTTTATATATATGCTCGATAATGACAGGATTAGTCAAAAGTAAATATTTATATATGTATAATAAATATTTCGGTTGTTTGTATAAATTGTATAAACGATTTAAAAATTTAGAAACACAATAATAACCTTAGATTATTATGCTTTTCATAAATCTAATAAATCGATTAATAATATTAAATAGTACCAATAACCACCACGCAAATAAGATATTTTTATACTTTTTTCCGATAATTGTTTATTTATTTATTTATGTTGTTTGTTTGGTTGTAGAAATTGAATTATTTATTTACTTGGGAAAAATGAAAAAAAACAATGACACGTTTTTTTATGTATAATTATTGATACTGTGTAGCGTACATGAAACGTCTCAATATATACTATTATTATTATTATTTTCACTAGTATCAACTAATTATAATTTAAACGGGTAGTTACGCTGTCACTAGTTTTTGGCACACAACGAATTTAAAATGCATAAAAATTATTATTAATCAGATGCATATATAACTCGTATATTATGAACGGAGTGGAATGAGCGAGATCACACCGGGATAATTTCTTTTTTTATTTGATGATGATCTGCAGTGAATCAAAAAATCTACAGAATCCTTCTTTTTCCACTATCTAAAAACCAGATAAGAAAATTTACCGGCGATGGCCAGCTGATTGGAGATCAAGATGAGAAACTAAAGATTTTTGACTTTGTGAGTATTTGTGTGTTTGAAATTCAATGAAATTTTATTTTCCACGTCATATCAAAATTTTATCTTAATGTAAATAAAAGCTTTATGTCCATATACTTTCTTTTAATAGCGATTGAATTCCAAAATAAGTAGTAACGCTTTGTTACTTTTATTATTGCATAAGTGGCTTTACGTTTATCGGATCAGGGACCTGGATAATTACGTTATCAATTCTCGTATTGGAAACAAAATCTTTCTTTCTGACTCATCATACCACCTTTCTACAGTTACTATATTGGTCAGTGTGGAAATCACGGCTTGTAAATACGTAATTATTATTGTTATTTATTTATTGTTATTATTATTATTTATTATATACCTAATCTAAGGCAATATGTGGTCATCATCATCATAAGGATTGCAAGGCACACTTACGAATTTTGATTATTACCAATAAAAAACAGTAAAGTCTATGTACCACTCGAAATACTGCTATTTTACTAAACCTATTACTGCCACCACCACCACGTTTCTTCAAAATCAATCCCTTGCTTGTGTAAAATAATTTTTGGGTGAGGATCATCTTGACACATAACAATATGAAATTTATATTGTTTCAGAATAAATAATAATAGTAAACATTGGTAATAGTAATATCAATAGTAATGGTAGTAACAGGTAATAATAATAATAATATATAGTAATACAGGTGTTTGCGTGAAAATCAAATTTGCGTCAATTTGAAATTTTATTAATTAAATTTTTGAGTGGGTGTTTGAATACAAAATTCTGATTGGCTAACTTGAATATCACGTGCGTGAATTTTTAAATTGACGCACAACATTTTTTTTTATCTATTACTATTTATTCCGTATTCCATTTCCTTATTAACATATATAATAAACTAATTTTAAATATAATTAAATTTAATTAATTGACAAAGACAAAAATTGTCTATAGTTTCTTTAATAATAATAGAACACGGAACAAAGAGTCATCATGAGCTAAATAAGGAATATGCCAGATACGAGGAAGAAGTCGAAGAAATTGGACCAATCGAAGATAAAGAATACTGGCTGAAAATTACATGGATGTGAAAAAACGATTACAAATAGTTTCTTGGGAACAACAAGTGATGTACTAAAGAAATAGATGCTGTTTAAAATTGGTCCATTTTAATTTGTTGATTCTTGTCAAAATGCCGTTGTTCTCTACGTTTGTTCGCGATAGGACTAACCAACCATTCGTGTAATCCATTCAAAAAAAAAAAACTGTGCCAGGTAAACAAGATATTAATATGTGATCGCAAGTGACAATTCTGGTAATCATGAAAGTCGAGAAATGCTATATATATTCTCTCTATAACGGTACTGTGAATTTTGAGCCCAATTTTTATGTTTGATATATAAATAATTACTGTCTATATCTTATAACAGACATTTTTTCCTAAGCCGGATGGCCATTATAGAGAAAGTGAACTTTACACGATTGCGAATCACCAGTCTTTTAACTAGGAATCCGATTTCAATTACCAAACCAGTCCTCCGGTGGATAAGAGACCTCATTTAACAATTTTTGGCTTGACATTAAGGAGGATTAGTTACGACTTTGTATCTGATGTGTAAGCGGGCAGATTGAAATTTATTAATATACGACAACCCGATTTTACGACTGATGCTTTCCCTGGGAGGATAGATTTATCGTATATCGAGTATTTGATATACTTGGTTAATTTGTATCGAAACAAATGTTTGATCAACCTAAATTGCTAACGACCGTTGAAGAATGAATAAGTAGCTCGAATTCACCTTCATTAAGGTAGAAAAGAATAACAATAATGACAGTTATATAATTGTGCAATTTATTTTAATGCTTTGTCTAATATTAGACTAAAGTTCCGAAACTCAGATTTTAAAAAACAACTTTTGAAATGCAGTAATCAGTGGTAATAATGTCATCATAGGCTTTTTTCTACAATAACAGTCAAGAAAGATTTTATAAATTCACCTTTTTGATGAATTCTGAATAACATATATGTACTATTATTTATTTGGTGGACCCTCCAAAGATATTTATATTTACCTTTTTGTGCAAGTTTTTTAAGATTGATTGATCTATTGATTGTATTTTATACTTGCGATTATTAATCTTTTTCAAAGCTAGAACAAAATAAATGTTGAAAATTTTCTGATTCTAGAAATTCAATTTTATTGTTATTCAAAAATGTTAAAATAATAATAAAAATTTAAAATAGTTTTCTAAAAATCATTATATCTTGCGAAAAATAATTAAAATAAAATAAATAATAAAAAATAAAATAAAATAATATAATAAATTTAATTTTTTTTCAAGTTTTTAATTTCATTCAACAAAATTTGCATTTGATCATTATTACGATTTTCCATTTCCTTCATATTATTTTCAATACTATTTTTTATTTTATTCAGACTTTTTTCAAAGTTGTCTTCAATTTGTTGAAATCTTGAATCAAAACCAGCTTCTGTTTTTTCGGGCACCCCAGCAAGTTGTCTAAGATTATTAGAAATATATGGGAGATATTCTTCGCCCTCATTGCTATTATCGGCTTCATTAATCTTTCTATGAATATCATCAATTGATGCATCATAGCGTCTAATAAAAAAAAATTTTTTTTTTTTAAATAATTGTTAAAAGGGAATTTATCAAAATGATTTAATAATTGATTAATTGATTGATCATTGTTATATTTACAATATATCTGGAAACCAGTTTCTCCAACGACGTTGATTAGGAAATAAATAAAATAATTCAATCTCTGTGATAATTTTTGCTTTTTGAGCAAAAAATGCTTCTTTTGTATTATAATTTTCAATTTCATTACTAAGCAAACCAATGAATAGATTCATCAGGTATACCACAACTATGAATGAAAATTAGTGTTCCATGTCGCAATCCAAAAAAGGAAACAAAATGGTCGTAAAGGTGGTAGCAACCATCATCAAAAGTTGCAGCCGGTATCCTTAATGAAAATGCAACTACTAATAGTGTAAGATATTTATTCTCTAGCCACACCCAAGATCCAAATGCTCCGTTATCTCCTAATAAAAAAAAACCAATCAATAAAATTAAATTATTTAACTTGATTATTATTTTAATGAAATATACAGTATATAATTACTACCTGTAAGGAAATTATACATTGCCAGAATTGAGGAAGGG